TTCCATTTTTTACTTCACGCGGGTCCCACGTCGGTCCCACACCCTTGTGAGGGTTGGTCACCGAGGTGGGCAGCCCTCTTTTGTCACTGAATCATTTTCCGTCATTCAAAGTGTGAATCTACGAAACTACAATTATTTAGCCAGTATAATTGAGCTGTGTTCTGGCCCCTGATGTGGACTGGTGCAAAAAAAGTTCTCAGTTTATCAAGATCCCCCTTTTTTTAGTAAGTAGTTTTTTTTTCCTTCAAATAACCTTATTTTGGCCAAGAATAAATATAGTTTCAAGTTTCAGCCAATGAAATTGCAGCACATATTATAGTGTAACTCAATGGACCACGGGCTTACCCTCATCATTGATTCTTATTTGGTAGTTCAAAACTAGTTCAGAGAAACAAACAAGTTTAAATAAATAAATAAATAAATCCTTTAATCTTCTTCGGTGCTCTTAAATGTGAAAATCTGTATATTTCAAGACGAATCTTTGTAAGTTTGGCAATTTTTTGTGGACTATTAGTAGTAGCAGCAACAGAAGGAGCACTTCTTGTTATTATAGTTAGAGAAAAGTAAAATTAATCAAAGATGAATCATTGTTTTCTAGGATCGAGTGCTCTCTTTGGGTATAATACTTTTCCGTTCACTGAGATCTATAATTCAATTTCTGCGTGTATAGAGTTAAAGTTGTTCAAAGATCACATGGATTTTGAGTCTAACTTATTCGAATTAACTTTTTCTCGAGTCTAAAAATAAATGATTAAATATGAGCTATCTAACGAATCCAATATTGATATACTTATAAATGTTCTATCAATATCTAAATATTTGACCTAAAAATATAAGACTTTAATCCTTCAACTTTTTAAAAAATATATAAAACATAACACAGAGAACAATTAATTCCATTTTATAATTTTTTTTGGGACTTTACAGAAAATTCTACTGAAAGGAGAATTTGTTGTAGTTTGAGAAACGATTATCAATCCTCCGTTAGTACCGTTGCGGAACAAATTCGTTTTAAAAACGAAGTGTTGAATACTTGCCTCAGAGTTTTTGTTTCGTATCATGATTCTTGAAGTTCCTACTTGTCTTATTCTTTGTCAAAGCGGGGTTTACCTTGTTATTTCTGAGAAAAGTTTTCACTTTGATTCACAAAATGCACTCTCAAAATCCCCAACACAAGCTATATTGCAACCTCCTTGGTCTCTCTTCTCGTTTTAATTTGGTCTAGCCACATGTTTGCACCTTTTACGTCTATGCGAATGATTGGAACTCTGTGTACAAATTTGGTCTAGCAATATGTTTGCACTTTTGACATCTATGCGAATAATTGGAACTCTATGTCCATTAATTAAATTCCACAATAAAGCTCCTACAGAAGTTCAATTCTTAACCAAAAATTTCATTAAAGTTTTTTCCTTAGATTTTTCAACGAGAAACGCAAACGCTCTAAAAGTTTTTGTTTCTAAACTGAGTTGTAAACAGATCCTCAACGATTAATTTTAACAACAATAATTAATTAGTTGTGCTAATGGGATCACAAATTATGATAAATAATTTACTAAATATCGTTGCTCATTATAATTCAACTAATAATTTAAGAGTGATGCTATGGATACATAATTCACATAACAGGAGTGTGGCTCATAATATACCACTATCATTATGCTAACTCCAATATCTGAATCTACACACCAGCTAAAAACTCAACTTGCAAATGTATATAGCTGAATAACAGAAGAATTCATCCATATTGCAGTCTTTAATTAATGTTTAACATTAACTTTCAACGGATGAACAGATAAACAGTCCTCTAGAAGATTAGTACCATAGAAATACATCAGCAAAAGCCACAAAATATTTACATACTGATACTATAGCAGACATGAAAATATGCCATTAGGCATCACTAAATGAACCTTATTTGGATGGAGGTCTAGGAGGAGTATGTCCAGTCCAATCAGCAACGATCTTTTTTATAATTTTTCCCCTTTGCGGCACAACCGTGGGCCTCACCACACCGCCCCTATTGCCAGGATTTGGGGCGATAGCAGGGGCGACGCCGATTTCCCGAGTTGGTTCACTATTATATCCAGAAGCACTCATTTTTCAGTTCTTTTTAGCTCAGATTCTTGAGAATTTTGCACTCCAACTGGAACTTGTACTTATGGAGAGAAAGAGAGAGGCAAGAGGGAGGGCAACAAGAGTCCCACCATAAGCATGCGCAAGATAATCCTATTAACGCATGCCACTTGGAGAGAGAGCTATGGTGTTACGTTACTTGTTCACGTGGTACAAAGAATTTGGACAACTAATGTTCGAATAAATATTAAAGGCAAAAAACATTTTTAAGATTATTAGTTGATATATCTATAATAATAATAACAATAATAATAATCTACTAAATATCACATCAAGTGAGAATCATTTTTTGAACGATTTTAACCTACTACAATTCAATTATTTCCATAATACCTTACTTTTCGTTTTAAATTTGTATAATAAATATTACAAAATCCTTGTGAGATATGAATTTTGTGTTAGTAATTCTCAACTAATTAACATTTACATTAATCGAGACTCAATTAATCTTGACTTGATGAATCTTTATTTACATAAAACTAGAGTTATTATCGATGAATTTATTTTTATTCATGTATTTACAAACTTTAATGGGTGTTTGAATTTATATATTAGCAATTGATTCTTATATACCAAATGTAATATAAAAATGTTGCTCATTTATAGTATTTCATAAATCACAAAAAAAAAAAAATTGAATTATAAAAATTGAGTTTTGAGAGTGCAATTTTCTTTTCTTAAATTTTATTTTCTTTAGTTCGTTTGAGGTGCGTCAAATTCTCCCAACAATTAGTATCAAATATTACTTTTACGATACTCATCAAGTATTTTAGAATAACGTGCAATGCACGTACAACTCTGACTAATTTCATAAAATGTGTGATTAAAAAGGATAAAAGTTATAAATTCAATTAAATGTGTAATTAAAAAGAAGTTCGACAAGCTAACTTAATTCTTTTTTTAAAAAAACTTCATTAATGAAGGACTAAGATTTAAGTTTCATCTGTACTATTTGATAATTTTCTTACTTTTAAGAATAATAGTATCTAATACTGTATTGAACGTTAACTTAAGTGTTAACATATTATATGTTCCATTAAATGAGTTATAAATTATTATATTTAATTGACTCTGTTATTTAATTACATAAATGATGTTATTTAGATTAATGTTAAACAATGTTGGTACTAAATAACATTACTCCATTTTGATGATAATTAGAATTTAAACTTTTTGAATTATTGAGAAATGTGGGAGCTCGGAAAAATTTGATGATGAGATGAGATGAGATGATTAAGGTCAGCCATTGAGATCATCCATTGCGGTCAGCGCTACGTCATCCTGGACCCACCAGTATTATTTGCCTGAGCATTTGCTAAATGAGGGCTGCTGCTGTTGTAGAAAGAAATCAACAAAAATGCACGTAGACACAATAGGGGGAGGGTGGTTTTTTTTTTTTCACTGTTTTCCTCACATGGGACTGGGCCCACGTGAGTATTCTGGCAGAATTCTGGTTTAATTCATTCGTACCTTGTTGAATTTATTAGCTGGCTTTGCACTGTCGAGCATTTTTTTTCTTTTTTCTTTTAAACTTGAGAGATTTTTTTAATTTCGAATTAAGTAATGATAATACGATAAACGCAATAAAATATGAAATTTTGTACATATGAAGTCCAACGTTAATAAATAAAGAGTTTTGCTACAAAACAAGGTTGTGGACAGGTTTAAAAACAGTTTGGACACGTGTCATTTGCTGATTGGGCAGTTTATACAAAAAATAGAAAAAAGACTCAAACAGGTGCGACTAGGGGGGGACCCATTACCGGCCCAATGGGAGCAATTACAATGAAAAAAGCCCAAGATTAATAGTACCTTAATTTTTGAGAATATTACAACCTCATAGGTTTTTAAGATACCAATTTCATAAATCCAAAATCAACTTTAATAATACATAAATCAGGTTTTAATTAATAGTTTTTAAATTAATTTTTATTTAAATTCATCCCACACAATTTCAAACCCTAATTATTTTATTTTCTCTTCCTCCGCTCCCCCTCCTGCCGACCCATTTTCTCTCCTATCTCCCTCCTCGCCGCCACCATCCCATCGGCATCACCACCACTGGTACCTCCTCGCCGCCACCTAAACCGTCAATCGACAGTTGCAACACCGTGTGGGATAGCCCCCATTGCACCACAAACAACCCCCATCTCTATCACACCACAAACACAAGCCCCACAAAAAAAATCCCCAAATTCGCCGCCTCACTATCAACAATCATCACCACCAACAACAATCAACACAGGAAAATAGGTTAGATAGAACACCTGCCAACACACAATAATTTCAACAATTACTTTCTTCTTCCAACATTTGACAGAAATCCAAGGTTGAATATTTCGTTCAATAATGGAATTTTGGATTCTTGATTATATTCACTGTTTATTCATTTAGTATATAATTATTTTTCTGTTTGTATTGAATGTTTGTGATAATGGTTCTAATTTCTATTCCAGGATTGAATTTGTACTTTGTAAACTTCAAGAGTTCATTTTATTGCTTGAAGATCCCATTTTTCCCATTTAATTTTGATTATTGTTTGAAAATACTTTTTTTCCATTTAAGTTCTCATTGAACTTGTTTGCACGTCGTCTGCCTGAAAGTCATAAGGTGTAACTTTGCTGCAATATTTTATGGCGCGGGCTGGTTTGTGTGCACATCAATTTGCTCGGTATTGTTGCTACATGGTTTACTGAGTAATTTATCAAGTAATATAACTTTCTTTACCTTCTTTGTTATTGATTATGTGGATAATCTCAAACTTTAATTTTTCATGTGGTAAGGAATAATTGTTTTCCTGCCTATGAAATCTATCGTTCACAGAGAAATATCTTAACTGGCTTCAAATTTGCCGCCTCCTGGAAATGGCCAAGTTCTCATGCTATTCCAACGAAGATTGGGGCTCGTGTGATAAGCATCAAAATGGAAACTTCTTCCACTTGGTATAAAACCTAAGAGTCTTCATCGATAAATTATTTGTATAATTCGAAATTATTTGTTACGTAATTCTATCTCGCTCCCTATCAACCATAATTCTGAATCCGCCCCTGGAGCTGACACATGCATCTGTTTCCTTCCCCTGTCCCCAACCCTGTCTGACTATCATAAACTCATAAATAAAATATGAAGACTTTTTATATCTAAAAGTTCAATGAAGATCTTTCATATTTTGTCATGTCGTCTGAGTTGCCACTATTGACATAGTCTAGTTGGAGTCGATAATTGGTTAGTTCCATAAGGTTGATATTAGTGTTAATTTATACCTGTGTAAGCTATTCAATACAAAATTATATTAAAGATGAAATAAACATGAGAATTTTTTTTAAAAATATTTGTTCTAACACACCACATGCTCAAAATAATCAATTATAAAGATAATCGATTTCTTTGTACTAAAAATTACAAAAAATATTGAAAAAATTAGAAAAGATAAAGAAATTGAATGAGAAATAAAAATATTATTTATCGATAGAATTACTTCACATTTGTGCAGGTTTGAGCAATTGAGCTTAAAAAGCAGCTTATTAGCTGCTTAACATCATCATAATGCTTATTTTTATCGCAGTCCAAAGAAGCAGCTTATGAGCTACTTTAAAGCTTGGCCAAACATGCGTAAGAGTTCTTCTTTTTGTTGTCATGTAGAGTCGTGTTCGACAGTCACCACCCTAAAGCAACTGAAAATGGAATAAAAAATGAAATCGAACACCATTTTCTTCACCAGCCTCCTCTTTGCCGGAAAAACACTTCCTTTCTTGGGCTTGAACACTGGTTGCGTCACCACCGTAGACCTTGCCTTTTTCTCTGCTGCAACCACCACCACCACCACTTCGGCCACCATCACTGCTTCTTCATTCTTTTTACTTCACTAATAAAGCTAGATTATATAAATTCGGTGATCTAAAGTAGCTTAACGTGGAAGGAACTTCTTGAAGGGTAGAGAGACACGTGGCCTTCGACAGAATCTAGGATATTTGGATTTGTTTGGATCTGTATGGATTACATACTGCGTCTTTCAGTTGAGATACATGTATGACAGCTGTAAAACATAAGCCAGGTAGTGACGTGTTTGTTTTTTGCTACGTGGGAGTCGAATCCTTTGTAAGTTCCAAATAATACTTTTCTTAGATTTTGTTTTCGAGGTGTGAACTAGTTGAAAATAATGCTATATAATTGAAATGTTCGACGAAGTACAAGACCGTGAATTTCCTTTGTCATTTCCATTTGAGATTACACGACAAATATTTTGGTACTGATCCTACTCTGAAAAATAGATTCGCGAGTGAATTTTGAATACAAAATATATGCTCCGGAGATATTTCTAAGATTACACTACATGAATTTCGGTATTGGTCGTAGAAATTAGATTCTAGAGGCGGGTTTTGAATTTAAATTATGTTTCTGAAATGTTTATAATCAATTTAAATATAAATAGATTAAAAAGAAAAATTGACAAGCATACGGTACTTGTAAATTTCACAAAATGTGTGAATAAATAAAGTTTTTTGTTATCATGAAGATGAATTACCACTCTGGTAATATAGTGACATTAATTAAACGTATAGACGTGAAATATATATTATTGGATCTATCTTTTAATAAAATCTAAACAGGATGATCCATGACAAATAGCATTACTTAATTTGATTCATTTCATCTGTTCGATAATTCATTTCCATCGTAAAAACCTCATTTTCGTTCAAAATGTGCCTTGAGTATTTGCTCAAATTCAGACATGCTTTTGGACCAAAAGTAAGAATTTCTACAAATCATTGGTCTAAAACTTAATAAATACAACTCTTGAGTTTTGACTCAAGTCTTTTGAAATTCCAGAAGAAGGTTATTTTATTATTTGGCGATCAATGAGTTGAACAAGAAATTTTGAAAACTTGGACCCATTTTCTTGATTCTGGTTTTTAGTCTGAAGGTGCAAATGGTTTTGATGTTTATTGACTAATAATGAGAGAAGAAAAAGTCATTTTGATTTCTTCTTAATTTCTTTTCCTTATGTTACTGATATTTTTGGCTTAATTTTCTTAATTTCATCCTTATGCATATAATAATTCACCGTAAGCAGATTCGGACGACTATTTTTCAAAAAACACAAATAATCAGCATTGGTAATACTCGTCTAATAAATTATAACGAGACCTATGTTATAATTTATCAATCTAGGTTTTATCTCACAACTTGACCCTATGCCTAAAATTTGAAGCAAAATATTTTCAATAATAGACAAGTGACTACTTAATTGAAATTTACGGAATTTCGAACCATATTTTTGAGGTTAGTAAATAGAAAATAAAGTCGAAAGTGTTCCGATGATGAAATTAAAATATCGAAGCATCGTAGAAAGAATAGAAAGATCTATGTGTCCAAGTTTATCCGTGATTTGTTGATTCACGTAGATTAAATCGATTGTATGCTGCATACATGACACAAATCACAAGCTTACCATCATCGATAGACATCAATCGAAGGTTGTTGTGTGACCTAACTAAGACTTCCCTTCTAAACCTAAGAGAAGAGATGGTAGACGGTTTGAAAACAATCTCTTACGCGGATTCTTAATGCATTGAATGAAAGAAGAATTGGTCCGCTCCTTGGACAAGTTAACTATTATTAAACATCGAAGGCCAACTTATATTGTTTTGAAAATTAAATATGAACTTGCTACTTAAAAAATAAGTCGAGGATCTACTTGGCAATTTCCCTTTTTAAGAATATTCTTCTCGATAAACCCTAATTAGATAAGCCCTAAAGTAATCGTCTCTCTCAGTCTTCAATCACGATTCTCGCCGTTCAGCCCCAACCAGAGGCCCAGATTCTTCAATTGGCAGTCGCCGCAGCTGCCGCTGCTGTTCCTTTGGGCCAGCTTCTCTCTACATTCTTTCAGTCCGTCAAGATTCTCCCCTTTTCCACATTTTGCGCTCGATCAGGTAAAAATGCATCGATGAATCTATTGTCATATTTTGCAATTTCTGAGGCAAAGAAGATTAAGTAGTGATTGTGGAAGTGGACGATTTACACATTGATTATTGCCACACTAAATGATAGCTTTATCCGAGAATTAAAATACAATCTGGTTTTCAAATAGCTATTCACATTCATCTGCTACTGCACGATGTATGTGCTCATAATTTAGTGGTATATAATTTAATAAAAAGGATAAATTTGTACCAGTAAAATGAGAAGTGTTTCTCTAGGACATTACAAACTTATTTCGTATTATTAAATTTGTAAATAACTATTGTTGCAGGGAATATGACAAAGAAAAATAAATCTTCGAAAAGGAAAGCTAGAGAAAGCAATGTAGCCACAGCTGATGGGATTACTTCTGAGATTATATCTACTAAGAGTAAGCTTCTATGAACCATTGTCTATTGTCTACTCAAAACTGCTGAAAAGTCTCTAATACGAAAAATGGGGAAAATGTGTGACCTTAAACAAAACGAGGAAGGTAAAATGTCTTGGGAGGATTCAAATTTTGAGAGAAGTCGCAAGAGGTTGTTGTCTACTTATGAAATTCTAAATATCGGTGGAATAGATGCTAAAATGCTCTTTTGTCTTAATATTAAAATATAGCTATTTAAAAATGGTGACCTACCTTTTTTTTCCCTTATTTATTGATGGTAATACTCTGTTCCAATTTTCACTTGTTAATCCACAGTTAATTTTTTTTTAAATTCCAATTGTAATGGCTTAAATACTGCATGGAAGAAGACTCTATTGTTCCTTCTAGGATTTTAAACAATCATTTTGAATCCTTTCAGTATTTCCTTTTGGGCTCAAACCTATAGGCTACAAGTTGAGCTCAACGGCATTTTAGGGCTGCCTTTTACTTGCCTTTTTTTATATATATTTTTCACTTGGTTTTCTTGGTGTGTGAAACTGTTCATAAAATGGCCAAGCACCCCTTATGCTTATAGCTAATATCAGATCAGAGCTGCTGCCATTTAATATTTCCTTGTTAATATAGTGGAGAATAATCCTTCTGTTATGTATGGCGTAAAAAAAGCATGCCAAAACTTTTTTGACAGTGAAAATTGATCGAGTTGTTTTCCTTAAGAACATTTATTAAACATTTGAACATCATATGCAGATCATAACGATCTTTATCCCAAATTTGATACTTTCTGTTCTAAACTTGAAAGTACTTATAAGTTATAAAGACTTTACAGTTGGAAAATGACACTAATTTTTAGCTACTTTCACTTGAAACTTGTTGAACTGCTCGAGGTTTCCCATACTAGCAAAAGAGAAGCTCAGTTGTATATCTCATCTTTGACTTTAGACAGTTTGTGATTTATTTTTTGATGGGGTAAATATGTAAAGAGAAAAGCATATCTTTAACTTCATAAGAAGAATGTGGTTGTCTTGTGGTATGTAGGTCTTGGAGATCATATAGATGGAGTTCCTGTCCACAATGATTTGAATGAGCCGACCATGGGAGAGAAGCTTGCAAGCCTTAACTTGACAGAAAACAGTGAAGCCAAAAGCCATGATGTAGAGTTCTCTTCTCAAACAAAACCACCTAGTGCGGACTCAGTTCATATTTTGCTTAGGCAAGCTTTACGCGCTGATGATCGAGCACTTCTAGTAGATTGCTTGTTCAGACAAGATGATAAGGTGCCATAAATCCTAGTGTCCTGCTCTAATTGTTATTCGTTTTTTTTTCCCTTCTACATATATATCCTGTTTAGGGACCAATTCTTTTTTCTCTCTCTATCTCTCTCTTTATAATTATAAGTTGAAGCACCATTGTACTACAGGTAATATCGAATTCAGTGTCATTGTTGAATCCATCTGATGTTCTCAAGTTCCTACAGTCTCTCATACCAATAATCCAATTGAGGTAAGGGGAAAAATATGGAAATATCAATACAGATATCTGCCACAGAACAAACTAGTACTGATAGAACTGAAAAGCTGAAGTATTGATAAAACTTCTGTAGTGCATCCAATGATTTCATTTTTAGGTGAAAAAAAAAATATTTAATGTCCTCGTCTCTAATCCAGAAATTTTTTTCTATACCTTGCATTTTTATGCCAATTTATAATCTCATTAGTTTGTAGAAACTATTGGCATTGTGTATTTGTTTGACAGGGGTGCTGTACTGGCTTGTACTCTTCCATGGCTTGGAAGTTTACTACTTCAACATGCTGGTGGAATAATGTCTCAAGAGTCTTCTTTGGTTGCTCTTGACTCTTTATATCAGGTTAGGAAGGAATACGATTAGAAAATTTTGTGGATGTACAAGGAGAATCTGTCCACAAGATCTCGATTAATTGCTAGTAATTTCTAGGAATTGGATATCTAAATAAAGGAGACCAATATGACGAAGAACTCACCAAATCTGAATCATAGCAACATCAAATTGTGTTTGGCATTAACATCAGATTTGTACCACTCAAAATTCATAGGAAACTGAAATTGATGATCTTCCATTAGCAAGTGTTGTTTGTTGTTTTGATCGAACAATTTCAAATCTATTCATCCATACATAACACACTTGTTAACCCCAATGCAGCTTATAGAATCTAGAGTCTCAACTTTCGACCATGCTCTTCAGTTATCAAGTTGCTTGGACTTGCTTTATGCAGAGGTGGGTCTGCTGCTAAATAATTTCTTTTATCTGAAACTCTTCGAAGTTTTACAAATACATCCCCTTTTTGCAGACTGTTGATGATGTAGAGGAAGATACTAGTAAGGTAGCACCAATCATATATGAAGACAAAGATGAGAGTGACGAGGAGGGATCCATAGATTCCATGGAAACTGAAAGCAATCACGATGGTGAACGGTCTCACGTTTTTAGTGATTTTAGTGATGATGAAATAAGTGACTAGATTGATTACTGACATGCAGAATGGCCAGCAAGTTGACGTAAGGTATCGCCCTGCCCTGCATTGTATTCCAGTCATTTTTCTTCATTATTTTACACACCAAATCTCAAGCTTAAAGTATGGTTTTTTTTTTTTTAATGGTTATTTTGATATGCTAAGATTTACCGTTCAAAAAATTCCTGAATTTTCTTGTTCTTTCTTTTGGAAATATGAGGCTAGTTTCAGCCACCATGAGAACACTAGGTAGCAATCTGCTCGAATCTAGATCAAATTAAACATGGTACAGGTTTCCATTAGTGTAACATAAACATAAACACGCACATCACATCACCCGACCCGTATTGTTATGTTTTGTTTTTGCTACCTGTGCCAGTGCAGACACAGAAATTACAGTACACAAACAAGTGCAATATTAAAAACCTAGCTAGCTAGGTGTTGAATCTGCGGCTCTGTATATCCGGGATGTCAGTAATTAGGATGCAGTGCTTCTTGACTGCATCAACAGTAGATTCGACTGCTTTCTTCCCGGCCTCAGCTATTTTCTTGCAAATCGTGCTACTTGCACAATAATGGTTGACAATCTTCGGTTACAACCTGATGTGGCATTTAAAGAGAAAAAAAAAGCAAAAATCGAAACTTCACTCTCTCACTTTTCTCCCCATTTCACCCAAAATCAAACCCTCTGTCCTCTCCCCGGTTTCCCCTAAAATCTTTACCTCCAAAGCAATCACCTCCGCCGTCTCCTAACATTCATTAAAGTCGTCACCATCACCTTAGTAAACAGATTTGAATACTCTCACATTCACCGAAGGCATCGCCGTCACCTGACTTAGTAAACAGATTTGAATACTAACTCCAGAATGAACCAAGTAGAACTGAAGTTGATGTTGGTTGTGTTTGGCTCCATAATGTAGTTTTGTGACAGAACCGGGACCCTGCTCTATGTATTGGAGGTTGTTCTTTGGTTCATTATCGAACTACTTCAAAAATTCCATCATCATAAAAATGAGAGTAAAAACTTCATATTGTACGTAGTAGACAAACGTCAAGTAACATGATCAAAGAGACGCCTTGTATTATAATATTTCGTAATTATCAAATTATACACGAATAACACAAGTTCCAAAACATTCAAAATGAAGATATCATCTTCCAATATCCAGAATGGCAGCAGGCTCTCAAGTGTAGTCCAGATTCGCAAAAGTATTCTCTGCACATGCGTCAAAACGGATCTAATCTTTCATGCAATTTGCCACTTCTGGTATCTGCAAACCTTCGAGGAACCAGAAGCAGCCATGAAATTAACCCTTCATCTAAAGATCTGTCTTGAAATTAAAGGAGGGACCAAAATGACAATAAAAAGATTCTTACTTTGGACATTGGCAGAAGCTGAAATGAAGAGAACAGACGGAAATGCTGGGTTATTCACACCGGAGTGCTACAACGTGGCCGGGATGGAGAGTCACTGGTGATGACGGCGGGATTGGCACTGGGATTTGACTGGAATTTCGTGTGAACCGGGTGTAACCGTGTGAGGAAGGTGGGTGTGGGTCTAAGGTTGTGGGTTTCATCTCATTCTGCGCTACAGCTGGGTTTTTTCTTTTCTTTTTTTAATCTCAACCGTCCACATTAGGTTGTAACCCAACATTGTACAACCAACATTCTTGATTTTATTGCTTGCCACTGTTGAAACATGTTCCTTTTCTTTTGGAAAAACCTGATCTTGTTGCATTGCTAGTGTGGGAATCCGTTTGTTTTACTGAATTGCAACTATGTTTGCCTTCTTTCTGTAAGAGGAGATATGATGGGGCTATTTATAGACCATGAGAACTATGGTATTCTTCTACTCTTTTTTTCATGTTTCGTTTTATGTTGCTGTAAATTCACTGTGATTTCAATGGAAAAAACAGCCCTTTGCTCTTCATATTAACTAAATGTGGATGTGTAGATGATATGGTTTGAATTAAAATAAAGTGGTAAAATATGAACTCTCATGAAAAGAAGAGTTGAGATTCAAGACTTCTCAATAACGTCACTAATGATTAAGAGCACAACTTACATGGCTGGAAGAAAATGATAAGAGAGTTTATCTACAACCAAACCATACTAGTTGATGATAAACGAGTCCTATAAAACCTATCTGAAATCAAACTTTTCAAAAGAATATCAACTCTTGACCCCAAAAAATGTTGCCAACAGGTGTCGGGTCCACTCGTGTACACGTAAGCTAAATTCAACACGTTACTGCTGATCAACGGTTAGAATGTCTCCAGAATCTGAACGTGGGAGGAGCTCAAAGACAAGAGACGTTTCCGTTCAGGCCTTTGTCAAGATAACTTGGAACACAATTGTATAAGAAACCAATCGATCAAGAACAAAATTTGCAATAGATTTTGTGTTGATAAACAAGAGAGTTGAGAGAGTAATATTGCTCCAAGTATTAGAATTTCATTAACCTTTTTGTGTTAGATGGTGGGGGTATTTATAGTGTTACAAATGAAATAAGGACCTTTGGATCAATTTTACACGTGACACCATCTCCTCGGCCAAGACATCAGGTCTTAGCCATCAAATTGACTCTCATAGCCTTACAAGACATTAAATGTTCTTACATTGACAAGACAAGACACAAATAAACCTTACACAAAAGTCACATCAATCATTCAAACTTAAGATCTTCATCATAAGCAAATCTCCACATGTGGGCCATTGCTAACTGCTGAAGAGTCTCGGATAGTGAGTGGAGGTGCCCTAGCCCCGGAGCAAGGGCCTCGGCTAACAATGAAAGGCTCGTATAATGGGCCTCGTTATGATTTCGAGCCTCGGTTGACACGTCAGACGCAAGGAAAACATATCCTGATTCAATCGGGCTGGTCCCACCATTCAAACATGATGCCACGTTGTGATTTTATTTATAAGTCGTAACATCAACCATAGAACAACTTATTTCTAAACTTCAATCCAACTATAGAATAACTTCAAAGAGGAGATTTTGAAGACTTATTCTTAAAGAAGAAAGGGGAAAGATGATTTTATAATGAGAAAAATAAGAGCGATTCTAAACGTGTTTGGGAGAGAGAGAGAGAAAAAGGAGGAAAGAGAAAAGAAAAAGAAGAAAAGAAAAGGAAGTTGGACCAACTAAGTCGGCCAAATTTTAATATAATTCACGTCATCAGCATGACTCAGTGTATTACATCACCTACCAAAGATCATTGTCAGCCTAGCCGCAGACCATTTGCCATCCGTCCATGCCAGCAACACCTCCACCACGGATTCCACCAAAAAGATATTAGCCCTCCACATCCCCCAATCAACATAAAACTAAAAATTAAATAGAGAACAGAGAAAAGAAGAGAAAACTATAGTCGCTAATAGAACTAGTAGTCTCCAAAAAATAAAACAAAAATCGTATCCATACCAATGAGTCAAGGAAACGTAGTCCAACGGACCAACACCACATTTACGTATAAACTTCACAACTCGGATAATTCTTCTTAGTAAGATTGGAACTCAACTCTTAATACGCCCAACCCGAAAGAAAAAATAGTTTGGAGAAAGATATAATCATTTACACCTCTCTTGCATCTTGGAAAAGGGAATTACTTGGAGATGAGGACTCAGAATTATCGAATGGAAAGCTGTTAAGCACCCATCCCTATTATATATCGTCAACCTAATTTTCCTTGAATCTCAAAAAAGAAAATAACCAAAAAGAGCAATTCATTCGAATTCCTTTCACGATCTGACCAAGTCCTTTTACATAGAATATGTAACTCCAACCATCCCAAATGAAAAAAGGCAGACTACACACTGACATATACGAGAAAGAACATTTGAAAACAAGAAAGTATCTTGAATACGTAAATAAAAAGTGGATGCAAATTTAAGTTGAAAAATTGCAGGACTCTTGCAAATGGGTCCTCAAAATCTTGATAAGTAATTCATACTGTAACAAAATGAATCTAAAAAAATTTCAAATCTTGGTAAAGAAGAGATGGATATACCTAGTAAAAAGCAAGAAAACTCGATCTAAAGCTAATGTTTTGGTAGATCTTCGTGTCTTAGATTGCAGTGATTATGGATTCTGATGAATATATTGAGATTTGTGAGCAAAAAGTATGAACAAATTGGGGAGCAACAAAGACAGGAGCGTTGATTGATATATGCAGAGTGAGATTGTAGTGCTGTGTGGGGAAGGCTAAAGTGCTATTCAAGAATATTTGCTTTCGGTTCCACTATCACCATCTCCCTGATGTAGGTAAATCTTTAATGCGAGTTGGGAAAGAAGTGTGAATGGTGTAAACCAAGAAATATTTCCTTTTAAATCTTTCTTTATATGAACTTTATAAGCTTGACAAAACATGGTGTGACTTAAACAAGTATATCTTTTCACATTTAATACTACTTAACAACAGACATCTTAGATTTTGTTTCATCTCTCTCTCTCTCTGAATCAACATAATAAAATCTGAATTAAGAAGAAATGTATACAACTAGCTGATTTAGGATTCAGATGCATGAAAGCAAAGGAAACGTGGTTATTTATAATAAACCCCAGCAATGTATACAAGAATTAGGAGGCAACCTGCAGGACTCGATCAAACAGAATTAAAATAAAATCACGTACATAGACACTTATTCTGAAGCAGCTTATATCAACTGCATATTCTAATCGCCATGAGCTACCTTAGCTTTGTCCTCGTGCTTGTTCACAGCATCAACAGCAGTCTTTCTTTTATCCTTGTGCTCCTTGACAGCATAAAAAACCGACTCGATCGCTTTCTTTCCGGCCTTAACAATTTTCCTTCCCACCAGAGTCGAAACGCGTACCCTTTTTTTAGGAATAACACTTCCGATCTTGACGAATTTTGTTGCACTGATGCTGCTCTTTTCTTCGTTAGGATTCATCTCTTCTGATATTAATTTTTGTATAAATCTCTCTCTCTCTATATTCTTATGCTTACGGTGTGTCTCTGAAGGAACATGTGTGAGGGTAATTTATA